GGTGAGAGTTCAATAGACTCCGCAAAACGCATTTGAAGGACGATACAAGAAAACAAAACTATCAAAATGTGACTTCGCTACAAGTGACCAGTGGTCCATGTGTATGTATGTGACCATAAAAATTGCAGATATACAAAAAGACAGTGTTGGCCCGTTGAGAAAATAGGTAGACATAAACCGATACAATTAGTATTGGTAAGGCAAACGGTAATTGTACAAGAGTGTGTTGGCGTATGTTTACAGACACAATTAGGAATGGACAATAAGAAAATTCAATTTCGCCTCGTGTAAGTACGGGTGTATCTGACTGTACAGGGAGAGTTAGGCAATCAATTTACGTAGACAAAGTTATGAAACAAGGGAGGGAATTTGTCGGTAAATAGAGCAACATCAAGACAGAGACGAAGACAGAGCACGTGTGTGTGATGTGTGCCCTGATAGGTTTGTCAGTGTGCACTTACGATTGCATTCCTGAGGGCGGTAGTGGTGGTACTGATGCTGGTAATCCATTGTTCAACGTCATAACCGGTAGGAGGGTACACCTATCGCTGTCTGTGCCGTGATCATGCGACTCCGTGGTTTTCATGCTCTTAGGCATCGAGTCAGGAGGATTTTGATTAGAGGCTGCGGACTCTTGGAAATGTTCGACGCATAATTTGCAGCTCCAGCTACCCTCAGGCGGCTCGGATAAGGGCGGGGAGAGACAGTACATATGATATCCACGATCACAGTCATCACAAAACAGCATCTGTTCCTGTGGTGAGGGAAATGAAGAATAGAATGATCATGATACTAAATGAGCACGAACGGAACAAATGAACTGGTCACGGTGATCGAAAGAAGTACAGAAAATTATTATTTTAGTTTGATTTATACGAGCATTAACCTTGCATTTTTCTTTCGGTTGTCTGTTGGATGAGCGAGTAAAATACGTAGAAAGCGGTAGTGAGGCGAAGATTCAGAGATTCAGCCAGACGCAGGCTGCGAAAAAAATTTAGTAGATGTTTAAATCCCCCTGTTGACGACATTCAGTGTCCCTAACCATGGATCGCGCTGATCATGAGATCCCCAATCGGGAAGTCTACTGCGATCAATATGTCCAATTCTCCTGATCAGGGTTTTGATATTATCATGTCAGGCTTTAGTCTGACCACCTTTGACCTTCTTCCAGCGAGCAGATAACACACTGCAGCAGTCTGGTGATGCGCACCACATATGTTCAAGTCAACGAGATCGACCAATTGCTCCGGGGCGTAATCGCGATGGCCTAAATTGGAGCTTTATGGATGGGTACTGCTAGGGAGTCTAACCATAAAGCAGGAGAACGATTAGGGTTCTCAACCAAAGCCTTTAGTTCTGACAAGAACCCAATCGCAAGACAGTGTTTAAGGCGGATTGGAGGTCCATTAAATTGGATCAATTATTCCTCCAACATATTTTACCGACTGAGACGCCAACTCAAGTCGACCCACTAACCTGAAGGACCAGGAGACTGGACTTCGTCTGACCTCTACCCTTCGACGTTCCAGACATGATTAGACCTTTGACTTGACAAAAGCCATCCAGTGTAGCTCGTTGGGTCACAGAGGTGCACAAGCTATCACACCACGTCAAGTTGCAGTCTCATCGTGACGGCCTCAAACTCTGCGCCTAAACTTAGCAACACTTGTCCAGTTGTTCCACTAAACTCGGGCAACGCGGCCGTTGAACACCGATAGCATATGTTTATTCTGTTCCTGTATTGACCAATTCTCTGCCCTATACAATAGCAAGGAAAAAGCCAATGCAGTATACATTTGACTCTTCAAGAAACAATCGAAGTCTTTGGCTATGTGAAATACAGCCACCGAAGTAGGAGTGAGGTCGGAAGCTGGACCAATCCAGTTCTGTAAAAATGTATACCGTACATGGGTACATTATTACTCAAACCATCATCAAAAACGTGTAGCTTATCTGGATCATTACCATCCGTGAGCAGCACATGAAATAACTTGCCACCTGGGAGTTTATCGACGCCGCTGTCATCGTATGAGGACAGAACTGTTTCCAGAATCATATCTATTACAAAGTTGCAGAGAAGAGAGGGCAACCCCGAAAAATTACTTTTCGTGATGAACTTGAGCGGAAAAGAGCCAAAAGCTCGAACACGACTTCAGTTATTAGTTTGAGAGATTATATAATTGGCAGGTTTCACCGAAGAGGCAGCGTCAGAGTAGACAGCAGTCCATTGAATTGAAGAACTGTAAGGTCTGCGGAAGAAATTTCTGTTTCAGAATTAGGCAAAAGGTGAAAAATATAGCTGATACAACCTCGACTAGGTCCAAATCCAAACTGGTTCTAACGTGTGTACCCTTCATATGCGGCAGACAATTGAAAGAGTATAATCTTCAGCGCTTTTCACAAGAAGGTCTATCTCGTTTCTTGTAAATCGGTAAGGGGGCCGATTCCCGCCATTCAACTGGCACCTGTTCACCAATTAAACCCTGGAGTTTTGACAGTTCCAAGGCCAATGCGTGCAAAAAGGTAATCTATGGAAATGGAGTATGGGCGAACAATCAATCAATCGCATGCACTTTTCTTTCATGACCGAGTATACGCGCACATGGCGTTATATAAGTAGCACTGGTTATCGTGACAAGCCCTAGATGTAGCACATAGAACCAGTGTGATTTTAGCTTTTGTTGCTAACTTTCATTCGACACCTCCTACCAGATGTCAGTCATGGCGTTTCATGGAAATATGATAGGGACTGGTGTTCCCAGAATCGATCGGAACTGTCTGACTACTCAGTCACCCAGACCAAAGTGCGAGTTGGGATCAATCGGCCTTTTAGTTTAACCTTGAACGTTTAGCTTTTGAATATCCAAGTGTAGCCTACAGTGGTAAGGTTAGTCTAGACAATCTGCTGACCTATCTAAAAGGTTAGTGTAGTGGATTGACAACCTTTAAAGCTCGAATTCAAGTGGGCTCAACTAGTAGACAATAATATGAAACGGCTGTACAGTAATTTCAGAGCTATCCCGTTATAGACGAGGTAACTTTAGGTAGAAAAGTTCATTGTTAAGGTTTTACTAATCATCCCCGGATCATAGGTTACTGCAAGTCTTCCACCAGGGAAGTTGTATGCTGGCCCGTCTCGTGGGTGTACATAGAACGGTTAATGAAGGAGCTAACCCTGAAGAGTCTTGATCACGGCCACGTCCGAGGACAGTTTTTCGTCCGGTAAGGCGTCTGTTCATAACCTAAGGCTACGAACGTTTGAAACAAAAACACTACGAAGCTCGCCACTAAATAAATCCATCGCCATCAGTTTGCTGCTCTACAGGTGACACTTGGTTATGTGAGGGTACAAGAAGCACACGCGAAGACTAAGACCGAGTGTTACTGGGATGCCGCTTCGTGCTATACTCCAAGATTACTCACGGATTCACGAAGCCGAATTGTGTACGCAGAGAAGGAAGTCACTCAAAAGTGAAAGAGTTTGAAGAAACGGAGAAAAACTTCAACAGCCTGAATTTACTACGAGCGGGAAACGAAAAGAGATGAGTTCTTTAATCATAAGCGTAAAATTAATTATAAAAACTATCGGCAACTTATGATTACGGTATCTGACTATGGTAAACACTCGTAAATAGGATGAACAAGAGAGAATAGATTTACGTTGAATCAGCAGAAAGGGGTACACATTCCAACCCGATGAAACAATATGAGTTTCTTGGATTGTTGTTGAATCCAGCCCCAAATCTATCACAGTGTAGGTTGTCGTCTACATGAATGAATGAGTAAACCAAAAAAATGAGACAGAAAGAGACAAGACGAAAGTTCACGATTCGCTCGTCACAGAAACTACCCGAAGCAATGTAGCAACTCGGGATAACTTACATCATTTTCCGAAGTGCCACAGAGCCAACATGTTTTGCACTCGATGCACTGCCAGCGATAGGTTTTCACTGAGGCAATCATGTTAGTGGTGAACTGGAGACAAAAGAAATGTGCACAACGCCCACAGTCCGAGCATCGAAGCATGCCTTCCGGTCGGCCGGTCTTTTTATTCAACCGCTCGTCACCCAGACAGAAATCACAGGTGTACTCGCTATCGAATGCGGTCGATGCACGCCAACTGGGATCGCCTGGTTCGACAACTGTCGAAGCATTTGTGTTTACGGGGAGGGGAGGGCGAACAGATGGACAGAATGAAACTAAATGATGAGTCTATGTGGAACGATTGACTTTTCATAACCGAGCAAAGTTTTGTGATGAGAAAAGGAGAAACTTCGGCAATGTTCTAATTTTAGTGCAGATATCCGAATAAGACAAGTGCAAATGAACCAACGCAAAAGATTCGCTCTGAAATTAGACATATCGATTTTTATTTGACTGTTGACGCGTTGAAAATAGATAGTTCAATAGGCATTCTAGACACCGGTTTTGAAAAGTTTTTGAGCCGGTTGGACGACCTGACTACCTTGGGTCAGGGTAAAACTAACGGGAATATTAGCTAAGCATGCAAATAACCCACTTCATGTAACAAGGAACACAGGCAATTAAGTCACAAATCGCTTCATTCATCCTAATGGATGGATTTTCAACTAAAAGGAAGTATAAACTTGAAAACGGTAAGGGAATCAGACACTGTTTTAAAATGATTGGAATAAAATATTCAACAGCTGTCACTATTTGCATAGTGTCACCAGGTCCTTACTATCCTGTTAGAAAGGTTAAAGAAACCACGTGTAAATGCAATCGTTCACGAACTGTATCCTGTTCCAGTGAGTTTAACAATGACAATAATGGCAATTGAATAGTCTACTGCGCGAACCATTTTTGTGTATGACGAAATAATCAAAAACCAAGACATGACTGGTGCTCCGTTGATTGTTCTTGTCTCCACGCCCGAGTGTAGCAGTCTAACAGCACTTGAACAGAGAACATCCACAAATGCCAAAAATATACGGAGACAGGACTCACTTATGTATAAGCATATTGGAGCGTGAGGGAAAATGTTAGACCACATGTATGTATACAAAAATCCCCCGCTAGGGAGTTTAACGGATTCTAAGATCTAACAAAAAAGGTGAAGTAACTAATAGGCTTAGATAGAAAAAAGATTACTAGGCTAGTAGACACGAAAAAGAAGACACCAAAAAATTTCCATAATGGAAAGAATAAGGTCTCATATACCAAAGACTGAAAAAATGAAGAGGGTAGCGAAGGGAAATTAATCCAAATAAAATGACTTCTCTCTTCAGTAGAGAACGGATGAAAAAAAACGAAATCAACTGTGCTGGCGGGATCTTGTGAAAGTGACCACTAAGAACGTGACAAGTGTCAAATTGCATGTCAACTTAAGATTCAGAGCTTATTCTTCACTCAACAGCTTACAAACGCACCACCGAACAACAACAAAACCATTCAACAAGAAACAGATTGGTTCCTTTCCATTATGCATTGGCACTGATAAAGATGATATTTTGGAAAACGTGTCTGTCTAAAGGCGTAGTATGGTGCCCATAGAGAAAGGGGAAGGAGCGGAACCGTAATTCCACACAATAGATTATGTTTAAGATGAATAGTCTGAAAAACAGTTGTCTGTGAAAAGTGTACTGCGTGAGACATAAACGGGGATTTGTCTGATAATCAGAGATTTGGGACAAATATAAAAACGTGAAAAAATGCGCTGGAAGGACAATGCGTTAGAGTCAACTAACGGGAGAACTCCAGACAGATCCAATAAATGGGAAACATAAGTAATAAACGCAGCACAAATTGACCGTGTTGTGAAACAAAACACAGCGAACATTGCTTGGATACTATTTGATGGTCTTCTTACACCATACATTCTCTTGACTATGGGTTAGCTCTGGCATTGTAATCACAAGTTTTCCTTATCTGACCTTAGTAATAATCAAGCACTTTAGTGACGTCGTTCGCACCCAACAAATTTAAGTACACACACTTTTCAAAACTAAAAAACTCTGAAGATTGAGTTTCTTTTGCACGATTCGGCAAAAAAGGTACTTACCCTCTATACCACCGTTGCGAGATGTATTTGCCCTTTTAGCACGAGAACAAGTATAGACTTTCACCATAGAAAAACACCGTAATCGAATTCTAAATTAGACAACAATGGTAATGATAATAATAATACGCAATGTTCTTGAATGCCGAGATTGATGTAGGAACGGAGTACCTGGGGCTTCCTCTCGACAGTGGGAAGTCTACACACTTCATTGGGCAGCTACCTCCCACCCAAGCTAGACATCCCCCAACCAATAAAATGCTATCCCGTCTACATCTCACCCGTCACATCGGTTGTATGAAGCCAAGAGCCGATCCCGGATAGTGGATTGTCCATCAACGCACCAGCGAACAAGGTACTGAACCGAAAAAACAAAGACATTCCGAGACAGGTATCCAGAAGCTCTCACACGGGTATTTCGGTCACGCACCCGCGTTTGATGTACGCCCTATTACCTTGTGGATCAGAGTTTGGAGTCAAAGGCTCCAGTTAGAGTTCACAAAAAAGCCTTTCGTTAGTGTGAGCTACCGCGAAGTATGTCGTACCCTAAAGTCACAGGTGTGAAAACCTCTCTGTTCTTTCCAATACTTCCTCACAATGCCGAACCACTCGAGGTACCCCCTGCTTACGCCACCCATAGTGTATCACTCT